TTCAGCTTCCTCTTGGTCCCAGCTCTCACCCCCATGCCCACCCCTCACACCCACCTTGGTGTAGTGGTGAATGAGGGCAGCGCTGCTCATGCGGCCACGATAGTAGCAAGGAGTCAACACCATGGCGACATCAGCCCCGACCTGGGCCATGCTCACGGTCATCTCCACCGTGGCCTGAGTAGCTGCAGGAGGAAAGAGGGAGTCTTCCCTACAGGCCATGCAGGGTGAGAGCAGGAGGAGGAAGAGGGCTGGGCTAGGACCCTGGGGCAAGCAAGGGGTGCAGAAGAGACAAACAACTAGGCTGAACCCAGCCCCTGGGCCAAGGAGCCTGGCCACCCACCCGCCGGGGACTCCCAGGGCCCAGGGCATTATGGCCTCACACTCGCAGCCAGAGCCAGCTACCAGGAGCTTGTCCTTGGGCATGGCCTGGCGCACGCGGCTCACCACCTCCAGGCGCTCACTGCTGGTCAGGAAGGGGAATTCGCCATTGGAGCCCTGGATCACAAAGCCTGCGGGGAGACCGCATCACATCAATAGACACCTTCCCATCCTCTTATGAACAGCAGGGACATTGCTGTTACACTCGCCCAGGTTCCTACCTCCCGGAAACCATAGCTTTTCACACACTTCCTTCCCATCTTTGTTCTGATGCAGCCAGAATGTTTTAAACAGTTGCGATAACAGTGTTCACACCATTTTTCTTTGTTTTAATGAACTGTTTTAGCCATACCCCAAAGAATAGATAATGACATAATCCACATATGTGTATTCCGTACCCATGGCAACCCTCCCTGGTCACCTTCCTCTTCCTCTCTTGCTGTCCTGACTCAGGTGTTATTGTTCCCATTCATGTCTTTCTACCCTTCAGACATATATTTGGACCAATAAACAAGATATAATATGGATTTTGACACTTTAAACTTTATAGAATAAAATCAAACTTATCTGCATCTTCCACAGTTTGCTATTTTTGTCCAACATTGTGTCCGTAGCAGGACATGTAGCTATGATTCAGTCATATTCATTATCCTATATAATAAAAGCCCAGCGACTGAGCTGCAGAACGACCAGTCACTATGATGTGCACTGACCACCAGGGGGCAGACGCTCAATGCAGGAGCTGCCCCCTGGTGGTCAGTGCGCTCCCACAGCAGGAGCAGCCGCTCAGAGGGTGGGTCCACAGCCGCTCCACTGACTGGGATGAGCAGTGCTTCCACAGCGGCCGATCCCCGCACGCCATACCCCCCACCAGTGCCCGAATCCCATGCACCAGGACTCTAGTCATATAATATTCTATTGTGTGCTTAGACCACAATTTACTTTTTAAAAATTTGATTTTGAGAGAGAGAGAGAAAGACATTGATTTGTTGTTTCACTTATGCATTCATTGATTGATTCTTGTATGTGATCAGGAATTGAACCCACAACCTTGGCATATCAGGATGATGCTCTAACCAACTGAGCTACCTGGCTAGGGCCCACAATTGCTAGGGCCCACAATTTACTTTCCATTCTCCCTTTGAGGACATTTTCAATTTTAATTTTAATATTTTGTTAATCCTCACCTGAGGATATTTTCCATTGATTTTTTTTTTTTAGAGAGAGTGAAAAGGTGGAGAAGAGACAGAGAGAGAACCTGGGACCGACCCTTCAGTCCACAAGCCGACACTCTATCCACTGAGCCAAACTGGCTAGGGTCCTTTGGACATTGAGAACGTTTCCTTATTTTTGCTAGCATAGCTAAAGCAAACATTTTCTGGAAAGTCTTCCGTGCCCATGTCTAAGGGATTCCCTACAGTCGACTTAGGTGTGTAATTAACAAATTGCACACCTGCACGTGCCATGCTCTCTGATTATCCAGGTCACGCCCATCAGCACAAAGAAGAGTCTGTCAGTCCTCGTCCAGGCCAACACGGGGCTGTCAGCATGATTTTTTGCCAATTTTCTAGGTTAAAGGTGACATCTCATTCTTGTCTTTTTCATGTTCCTGTTTTATCAATCACTGGAATGGTTTCTAACATTTCCAGCTAAAGGTGTCCACCCTTTTACAATCCACCAGAGGCCAGCAGAACTGCTGCTATTCGGCTAAATCTGAAAGGAATGTTACTAGAACCGTTTCCTCCCCCCGCCCCCCCTTTTTTAACTTTCTCTTTCCTCTTCTTTCTCCTCTCTACTCCATTCCATTCCAAAAACATTTTTCTTCCATAGTTGACAAACACAGCATAAAATACAACAAGATGATTAGTAAATACAAGTGTTTGGGAGAAAGGAAAGAAAACAAAGCCAGGAACGATATTGATTTCCAAACCCCTGTCACACACTTGTGAGCGATGGGTCATGCATTTGATTTGGGGCTTCCCGACTGTCAGAGCTAAAAGGGAAACATGGTCAGCTGACAGGCATGTAGAGCTCACGATAAAAGCAAGACGGCCGCCCTGGAGAAACACAGGGTTTCCTGGCACTGGGACCAAGAGAGAGTGTTCCCGTGAGTCATCCATCCTTCAAGGGACACAGCGTGATGTGGGGGCAGTTACACCACAAACCTTTCCCTGCTGCTCACTACACCGTTAGAGTCCACTCTGCAAGTTGCCAGGCTAGCTCACTGGATCCTTAGCGGCCTTCTTCTTTTCAGGTTTTTGCCTCGCTAACCTTACGGGGACCATCTGGAGGCAAACAGCTTTTGGCGTCTGTTGCGTTGCCTCCTGAGGAGCTGCTCCTCCGCATCAGGCTGGAAGCCGATGGTCGGAGCCTCTTGCTACACAAGGCCCCGCGCTTTCCCGGGGGGCCATCCCCATTTGTAGAGCTGCCAACCCTGGAGGAAGGCTCCAGTCCAGTCGGGATTGGACCAGCACCCTCTGATTTAGAGAGCAAAGACTTAGAGATGAAGTCTTGGCTACTCCCTCTATTCAAATGGAAGAATATCTCCCTCCCCAACCGTGCCTGCCACCCCTCCTCGAAGGGGGCCGAGGTGGGGTCTTTCTCCAGCTACTTCTTCAGCCATAGCCACTCACGCCCAAGTCCCCCTTCATTCTGGTGGTCAGTTCCTCAACAGCTCCTCAGTTCCTCACTGGTGGACCTGCCTCAACAGCAGAGGTCAGAGAGACCCACTCTGAGGGTAAAAGAGGACCCTCACTCCTAGTGGCCCGCTTGGCATGGGTCAGTGGTTGAGCATCGACACATTAACCAGGAGGTCACAGTTCGATTCCTGGTCAGGGCACATACCTGGATTGCAGGCTCAATCCCCAGTAGGGGGTGTGCAGGAGGCAGCCAACATCACCGATGTTTCTCTCTCCCCCTTTCCCCTCCTCTCTGAAATCAATTAAAATATATATATTATTTTAATTGATTTAAAATAATCAATTAGAGGCCTGATGCACAAAATTCATGCAAGGGTCCTGGCCCTCAGAGCCCCGGCTACATCCAGAAGGTCGTCTGGCTGTCCAGTCAAATTAGCATATTATACTTTTAATATATATATATATATGTTTAAAGACTCCTAGTGGCCTCTCCCTTGTGTCATTTAAGGGAGCATCTGACCCAGTCCTAACTCCCAAGAGGGAAGAAATGCCAGGCGGGGGAGAGGCGTGTGGTGGAGTCAGGAAGCACTGGACCCAAGTCACCTCTGGCTATTGAACCAGTCACATCACGCCTCTGAGTCCCCATTTCCTTTCCATGGGGTGACAATAAAATCATTTCAGTCCTAACCTTACAGGGCTGTCCTAAAGGCCCAAAGAAGAAAATGTACAATAAAGCCTTTTGAAATCTGTGAACTGCTGCCCCAGGAGCCCCTTCTTACTTGGCTAGATGTGCAATTTCAGACTCGATGTGTCTCAGCATATATATATATATAAAGTCACTTATTAGTAATGTCAAAAATATTCAAAGACTTCTAACTCTGGACGCATCTGGGGACGGTGGGCATGGGACTGGCCTTCGAACAGGGCAGTGGGTCTGGGTCTGGGCTTCAGGGTTAGCTGAAGCAGGGCTCTAACCCAGTGACATCACAGTCTCAGGCGAATCACACCTCTGAGCCTCAGGTGCTCGTCTGCAAAATGGAGAGAATGTAATATCTTATGGGTCTGTGCCATTAACCACCCAGAACGGGGCATACACTACAAACAAACAAACGAAACCTCAGAAAGAGAGCTGTTGGTAGTAGTAGTACTAGCAGCAGCAGCAACCCCAGCCCCAGCCATGCTAATGTAAACAAGGAGAGAGAATATACAGCACAGTAGCTCTAAGGGTGTGTTGGTGGGTGGGGGGGTGGGCACTTCATGGATCCCTGTGGGTGCAGGGAGCAGGCGGGCAGGGAGGACTGCAGCAGGGCTGCCACGTGACTGGAGAGGCCATAGACCGGCGGAGGGTGGCACCCAGAGGCAGGGGCTACAGCCCACCATGCTTACTTACTTGCTTCCAGAAGTCTATCTCACCTCCTTCCCCCCGATTCTTGGCTGCTTCCTCTTTCCCTGACAACAGCAGGTTGGTGGGTGGGAAGCCTCCTGGAGATATCCCGTCCCCAGAACCTGAGACCTGGGAAGCCGTTTACGGTGTCTCAAATCAGCTCAGCAAAAAGGCCCCAGGTCAAGGCCCACACCAAAAAGGGGTGTGGGAGAAGGACCCCCCCATTCCTGTCCAGCCCTGAGGCTGGCTACAGAGCCTCCAGACTCAGAGTGAGGGGGTACAAGGCTTTATTGGCTCAGGCATGTGGCATCAGTGTGGCTCTCAGCTGCTCGTGGGATCTGCCTCATCTGTCTCCTCTCAGTGGGTCTACAGGAACCTGTGAGTCTGTTTCAGCTGCTTTGCTCCCTCCACGCTCTTCCTCCGTTAGGGCCCATCCTCTGTGGCAGATTCCACTCATGAAGTTGAAGGCGTCCACCTGAGGAAGAAGGGGTTGGGATGACCGCATTCACTCTGGGCCACAAAGGCTGTCCCACAGGAGAGAAAACAGGCCTGTGATTGTATGCCAGCCCTGTTGGGGGAAGGGGCTTCTCCATCCGTGGTTAGATGGCTTCGAAGGGCTGATAGGTCTGATGGCTGCGGTTGGGCAGGCTGTGGCTCTGGTGGTGGTTTGGGTGGCTTGGATGATCCTGGTGGCCATGGTGACCATGGCCATGGAAGGTGTGTGTGTGGTTCATACCAGCGACAGTGGTTTCCCGCTGCGTGAGGAAATTGCCCTTCAGCTTTATCTCCACCTCCTGGAGGGCCTTCAGCTCCTCTTGGTTGAGGTCCTTGGACTCCAGGTGGCCTGAGTTCCGGTACACCATGGCCCGCTGCAACATGGAGTTGGCCAGCTGGCGTCCCTTGGTGTCAAGCTCCTTAGTACTAGCAGCCACGGCGGCCCACGTGGCCTCATCTGTGGGCGAGGACTCCTTGTGGGTCTCTCTGACCACTGAGTACGCAGGCACCTTCTGCTTGTTGGCGAAGGCCTCCCTTGAGGCGGAGGTCTCCATGCGAACCGTGGTGTTGGCCTCTCGGTTGACAGTCTCAGGCTGGGGGGCGGGGGCGCTGCCGGGGGCCGGGGCCCTGCCAGGGGCCAGCTTCTCGTCGGAAAGGCGGCTAAAGTGAGATTTGATCCAGTTCTCATTCTGTGCTTTGTGGCATTCTTGTGGCTCGTGCTCCTCTTGTGGAGACACAGAGGCTATCTTCCTCCTCCTATTCCTCTTCCGAAGCCACAGCATGAGGCTTCCACCTCCGATTAAGAGGACCGTCCCCAGCACCACCTTGCATGATGGTTGCTGGATGAGCTCCAAGAAGTTCTCCAGGACCCTAGCCAGGCAGGCAGAGCTAAGAGTGCACTGGGATGGGGGGAGCCCGGATGGTATGTTTCATGCTTGAAAGGGCAGGCTCCCTGTGGGTGTCTGGCAGGCAGGCCCACCGCTGCACCCTTCCTAGGATACCCCTCCCGCCTCAGCAATGAACCCCATTATGAGGTTCATTGGTTGGGGGGGCGGGGCGGGGGGAGAAGGCTACAGCATCCCTCATGTTGACCCCGGCAGGCATTGTCTGAGGCCCAGGTTCTGTCTCCCACCCTGACGGCTATCCCCAAGGTCAGTGGAAGGGCAGCTTCCCCAACTCTGTGTCCCTTCTGTCTTCTGCTTGTGACCCATTCTGCAACTCAGTCCTTCTTATCTTCCAGCCTTTGGTTTCTCTCCTTTGCTATCCAGTGGTTCCCAGCAGGCAGAGGCTTCTAGATCAGCGGTTCTCAACCTGTGGGTCGCGACCCCTTTGGCGGTCGATCGACCCTTTCACAGGGGTCGTCTAAGACCATCCTGCATATCAGATATTTACATTATGATTCATAACAGTAGCAACATGACAGTTATGAAGTAGCAACGAAAATAATGTTATGGTTGGGTCACAACATGAGGAACTGTATTTAAAGGGCCAGAAGGTTGAGAACCACTGTTCTAGATCAAGCTGTTCGTGGTTGAAGGACACCCTTGGTTAGGCTGGCATCCATTCCTGGCCACCTGAGGCGGCATCTCTCTCCATCCAGGACCCATTTCTGCTGCCAGCGCATTCCATCCCCACTTGCAGCCCCCAGCCCCGTTATGGAGCAGGGTCCAGAAGGAAAAGGGGTCCAGCAAGGAGCTCATTCTAGAATAACATGAGGTCACAAATGGGGGAGGGGAAGACAGCAGGGCTGAGAAGGCAGAGCAGATAGGACAAGAGCAGCCACTGGGTCCCAGATCCCTGGGGCCATTTCAGGATGCGGCTGCTACATCTTGTCTTGGTGATGCACCTGCAAACCCAGAATATATCACCACCCCCGACCCACCTCGTAAATGGGCACAGTGCAGGTGTGAGCCGGTGGGCCAGCCTGTCAGGCTCTCCAAAGGCACAGACAACTGACAGCCTGGCCCACATCCCAAATTATATCCAGGGCCTCGGGGTGCAAGCGGGTCTGGGCCGCTCTATTTTTCCACCCAGAGGCAGCTAACACATTTTTTTTTTAAATGAAATGTTAAAGTAAGATGGTAAAAATTGTGAGATTTTAAACAGAATATTTTATTTAATGCAGTAATGGCTTTAATATACACAAAAATATTCTATCTTATCACAAGAAAACATGGTTTAGTCCACATACTAAGGGAAGAAGACACAAGCTTAAAGTTCTATGGGAACACCAACTCCCAGTCTGGCTGGAGTAGCTCTGTGGTCGTCCAATGACCTCGTTTGGAAATAACAATTCAAAGTTCATCTCTGGGGTGGTTTGTGGGAGTGAGTTCAGGACCAAATGGCCCCTCAGCAACAACAACACCCTCCAGGCTCTAGTTGTGACTTGTATTTAAAAAGAATATTCTTAATTCAAATAGCCAGTACAAATTAACAATGAAAAAATAAAAATAAATAGCCACACTAGTCCATTGTAGTATAATAACGATGTATGGTATCAGATGGCATTAGATTTATCAGGATGATCACTTCGTAAAGTTATGTGAGTGTTTAATCACTAGTTGAAACCTGCAGCTCGTATAATTTGTACGTCAACTGTAGTAGAAAAATTAAAAAATATTTTTTAAAAAAAGCTACAGGGTTTCAGGCCATGCCTTCCAGAACAATCTCTAGCTGTTCACCAATTCATTAAGGGCAGGCTTCCCGCTTTGGGGGGGCCTTCATCTTGGTGCAGGGGGGCCTGGCAATGAGAATGATGGTTCTCCCCTCTGCCTCTGAGCGTTGAGCTGCAAAGCAGGGCCAAGATCAGGCAAGAGAAATGCTGATTTCACAGCGAAAGTGGCCCACTGCTCCCTTCCTGGGCGTCTGTCTGTGTCCTGGGACCAGGGACAGGACCCTATGGTTCTATGTTCCTTTGCTAGGGCCTCATGTTTGAGCTCTCTGGGAGAAACGCGTTGAACCCGGTGGCTCAATTCCCATCTAAAATGAGGAAACTCTCCCAGGTCGCTGTTAACTGGTGGAACCAGGATGCTTACCCCGTCTCCTCACTCCAGATGCTGGCTCTTCCCACACAGCCCGCTGCCCCTCCCCCATCTTGTGTTGGGGGGAAGAAAGAGGGGAGGTGGGGGCAGGCTCCTGGGTGGGTTGCATGGGAGATGGACTAATGCCTGCCAAGTCCACAGCAGCCTATGCTCCTGGGCACTGCCCTGCCCTCTGCAGGAGTCGGGGGGAGGGTTCAAAGAACCTGGGGGTCTCTGTGATTCTCTGGGTGGTAGGGAGACATCAGACCCAAAGTCCACCCTCCCCACCCCCTGTGCTCAGGTGTCCTTGAACCTAGAAGGTGAAGCAGAACCTTCTCTCCTCTTAGGGATGTAAGGAGCTTCTCACTTTGCTTCAAGAGAACCAGGCCTCAGCTCAGACCTTCAGGGCCCCATGACCCAAGTCCCAGCAGAAATTGACTTAGTGTTTGTGTCACAACTCAAAGTGGGCGTCCACAGGGCATTCACTGTCCCCTAAGGAAGGATCACATCACCTCAGCCTGAGACATGAATGGGGTCTCCGTCAGGCCAGCAGTCCCTGTTCCAAAGAGCTTTGCCCACAGTACCGTGCTGTCATCCTAACAATCATTATCCTTGGACTCAGTACCTTCCAGTGCATCGCTCTGCCGCTTGCAGCACGCTTTCACTTGCATTCTCTCGGATTTTTCTCCCTACCGTCCCATGAGATGGGCATTATTACTCCCATGTGTCAGATGGGGGACTGAGGTTTAGGGAGACTAGCTCATAGCTACATCAGTAATAGTGTAATCACTACTCTGGTTTCAAATCAGGCAGAGCTGTGATTTGAAACTAGAGTCCACGTTCTTAATTGCTCCACGCACCACCTCAGTCGGAGCCACTCCATTCCCAAAGCCGGTGCTGACCAGACTCTGCTGAAATCATCTGGCCTAGCAACTTAGCAGTCAGTGCAGGGAGTGCAACTCAGCTTGGCTGTGCAGTCGGACCTGGGTTCAAATCCCAGCTCAGCCACGTACCGGTAAGTGACTTTGGGCAAGTGACCCTGTCGTTCTGAGCCCTGTCTTTCCCTCTGTGAAATGGGGCTATTGAGTGGACTGCCTCAGGGAACTGTCATGAATCATGGTTGAGGGCAGGATGGAGGGACTTTTCCACTTCTAACTTCATTTATTGTGCTTGTGGCTGTGCTGTATGTCGAATGCCACTAATATAATCTGGTCCCTGGCCTCAGAGAGGGGAGACCCATGTGCAGAGGGGAAATGAGTCAGAGAATCCAGAACAGGAATTAATTTGGCCAAGGGAGGCTTTACCCAGAAGAAAGAGTGCAAACAAGGCTTTGAGGGGGGTGAGCCTGCTGGCTGGGCTGCCACTGGACACCTGGCTGCCCTCACACCTGCACAGGGTGCCAGGTTAACAAGGACTTTCACACCCATTATCTCATTTGATCCTCATAATAATGCTGAGAGCTAAGATGGCGCGTTAGCAGTTTACAGCTGTGGGAACTGAGGCAGCAGGGATTCGGTCGGGGTCTCAGGCCGGCAGGGGGCTTCCCACCTGACTCTGTGCCGCTCCCGTAGTGAAATGAGCCCAGGGCACTGCACTGCCCCTGAGCAGCTGGCCAGACCTGGTGCCTCCCTCCGGTTTCTGGCTGGAGAGACCAGGTCATTCACATCTCCCCCGAGCCCCACCGTGGACAGGCCCACTTACCTTTGAAGGGGAAGGCGCCCAGTTTCTGCAGATTCTCCTCCAGTTTCCCATAGTCCACCTCCGAGGTGGCCGTGAAGGGGGTGGTCAGAGGGGGATAGATGCCCGCGATGTTCACCTTCCTCCCCTCCCCTGAGGCCCGCCCCCCCACATTCCTAGACAAGCCCCTGCTCAACCCCTGCCTCACAGAGGACCAGACCCGGGGGCCCAGCATCTCCACAGGAAGCCTGAGGCCCAGCTCGTCTCTGTCCCTACGGGAGGCTGAGTTTGGACCCCTTCCGACCCCTGTTAATGATCAATGTGTTAGTTAAAAATTTGCTGCCCCTGACTTGTCAGCCCTGGGGCAGGCTGGGCTGGGTGTCCCCAGGGTCGAAGGCTAGGCCTATAGGTCCCCGAGAGGGGGGGGGGCGGCTCCTCTTCCTGGGGAGCACCTGGAGGAAGGCCACAACCCAATGTCCCTCGCCAGATGGAGGACTGGTTCCTGGGGTCCCGACACTAAAGGGTGTTTATAGTGGGGCCTGAGTCCTCCTCCCACAGTTTCCAGCTCAAAGCCAGGAGCCCCGCCACCTTTTGCTTGGCAGTTCCGTGTTGGTCGGAGTAGCCGATTGGCTGAGCCCTGTGGGAGGCGTGGCAGATCTGGGTGATCCACAACCCCTTGGCTGCCCCCTTCCCAGCCAGACTCCTCCTCCTGTTAAGGCTGCCACCTGACAGGCCTGTGCTGGCCACACACAGCCCCACGGGACTGCAGTCACAAGGAGGGGTGGTCCAGGACGAGTGCATGGTGAAGCTGATCCACGCTGGGACTTGGGAAGAGGGGTGACGGGGCGAAAGCCAGGAGAGGAGGAAACGCAGCAGGGCTGGCTCAGGGGACTTGGGGAAGGGATAAGGCTGGAGTTATCCCTGGAATATTCCTAAATATTCCAGGCACAGATAGAAACAACATCACACATAGCAAAAGGACATTTTTATTGCGGCAGCTTGTGGGTGCTCCTGGGTCTTCCGCAGAGGAAGGGCTCAGGTCTGGGGGCCGTTCAGGCGTTTACTGGGCTGGTACAGGCTGGGGG